CAGTTGTTCATCCTACGTTGGCCGCGCCGGTGGCAATCAGACCGTCTCACTTGAGTTGACAAGTGTTTCGCAAAGGTTCTGTCTTATGGCACACAAAATTAACTACTTTGTTGTCAGATAATCTTATCCTACTTTGTACATTATAGGAAAATTGTTTAAGGTATGAAAGACACTATGAAAAGCATCGGAAAAATGAAAGTAAAAGGCCAGATGGATTGAAATGATTAGATGTAAGCTTGTAATTAACGCTAACATGAACGAAAAATGTATTTCATGTGGTGTGAGATCTCTATTAGGAGGAAAAGTTCAGAATACTCGAGTTGATAAGTGAATATTTGATATAAAGATATAGTGTAAGAATATTTTTGTAGCATTTTTTGCAATATTTTTTCAAATATATATTAACAGTTAATTCCTTGGCACATTGCTGAAGAATCCTTTTACGAAATGGCTCATGCTTCAGTGCCACACACAAAACTAATCAGATTATCAATCAATTTATTGATTTTAATTCACAAGTTTTGTAGGGGATTATCGCTCATGAACTGATGCACGCGCCTCGAGTTTTTCCATGAGCACTCAAGAACGGATCGTGACAGATTTGTCGACATTCAAGAGCACAACATCAGGCCAGGTATTCTAAACCCGCTCACTGCTTTTTTTTCAAAACTAATGTTGACCTGTTGTCATCCCAACCTTGTTGCGATAGGAGGATTCATCAGTTGTTTGGCATCTGCTGATCGAGACAATTTTTTCTTGAAGTTCCGGAGGTAGCCTAGTTAGAGCGTTCCTAAGCGTTTATTTGATTGTTTGTAAAAGAGTGTTCGAAGAGGAGATTGAGCCAGAGCATCGCTTGCCACATAAAATTCTCACTCACTGCATTTCTCCTTGCTTGTTCGTTTATCACGCCTTGCCTGCTTAGAGATAAGTCATCACAAGTATCAAAATGCATGGGCAAAGCGGAAACATCGCAAGTGCAAAAGTTATATTTTTTTGAGAAAAAAATTACTTACATATTTCAGCATTTTTTTTCAAAACTAACGTTAAAAACGCTATAATTGAATTCATCAAGATGAAAACGATGAACAGCCTTTTTTCAGGAATGATGAGGAACTTCGAAAATTATCCACGAAAAATCGTCGATCCGTTAGGAATTGCCGTATGACTACGAATCGGTGATGCACTATCATGAGCTTGCGTTTAGTCGCAATGAAAGCGAACAATCATGCCAAGGAACCGTTCAGTGAAAATTGGGCAACGCTATAAACTTAGTGCTATTGATGCCAAAAGGTGAAGTAGTAGATATTCTAAGGGTTCACCTTCAGTTAATAAGTTTGATTGCAGACGTTGATGAACATCGAATCATCAAGAAATAAATTTGAAAAAAAAGGCCTTCGAAAACATGGACTTAGAAGTGCTAATCAAATTGCAATAGTAGTGTAAGACAAGTCGTCTCAAGAGTTTTGTACCATAGCTGAGACTTATAATCTTTATTATCACTATTAACTAGTAACATAGAGAGTATGCTTGTATTTTCTCAATAATTGAAAGACAACTGCGAAAAAGGAAAAGGAGCTGAGAGCAGAAAGGTAACTAATACAGCTGTAGAAACCATATAGTCTAACGGATTTGTGGAAGCTATGAGAAGCTAACAATATATTTTAAGCCTTTCATGAAGACTGTTGCGGCACTTATAAGTGCCGCAGGCGTGTTTCGGCCTTTCAGACTCATTGGTAGCACGACACCTTTCGGTTCAGTTGTTCCTCGGGGACACAGCCCCTATATTGAGGAATCGACGTCGAGCTGTTTATACTCAACGTCGGTTAAATAATAACCGTGGCGTTGTTCTAGAGTGACGAATTCTCGATTGCGTGGCTTATAGCTGTTATGAAGCTAACGTATGAAAACCTTACAAATGACTGTTTTGAGACATCGCTTAAAATCAATATCATGCCGTCAGTCGACAACCAGTCATTCTGAAACAACGCCACGCTGATTCTTCAACCGTACTTTTAGTGCAAATAGCTCGGTGTTGGCTCCTCTATGTAGGGGGTATGTCTCCAAGAAGGTGACTGAACCAAAAAGAACCGTTCTACTAATGAAGCTGAAATTTCGAGACACGTGTCTAGTACTGTAGAAGTGCAGTAACAGACTTCATGAAAGGCTTAATGAACATCTTTGCAACGTCTTATTGCTAATGAAAAATTTGCGAGGGTTTGAGTGATGATCACAAAGTACGTTGGAAGGCCGATCAACTGGTGTAACATTGCCACTTTTTTCTCAGAAAAAAAGTGAGAACGTTGAAATGATATTGCCTCATATTTAGATTAATAAACTCTATGAGTGCAAAGGTTACACTAAGACCACGACCACTGCGAGACCACCAACAACTGCACCTGCACTTACTAGATCCCAACCTACCACATTTAACTCTATGGCAAAAACGAAACCCGGACGTGGACGAGTGAGTAAATATAGCTGTCCTCGAACACTACAAAAATTTGAAAAATTTGGGAGTTATTATTAAAGGCTATAATGCAGAATATAAGAAGCGGAGAATGACTAACAAAGAGCTCTATATCGAAATTACTTCAAATCTGAATCGCTTTCTACGAATTACAAAGAATAGCACGTTGTTGAGGCTATTGCGCGGTTTTCTATAGATCTTTGCTATTATGAATAACGTTTCGGCAGTTTCGTCATTCGTGACTGATTTCGCCATTCCAGCCACGATGATTCGCGTCGAAGGATCACAGCAGTTGCTCTTCTTTGATCTGACATTTCTCTCCGAAAATTCCTATAAACATTGCGCTAGCTCAACAGAAAGAATAGCAAAAGCCCAGCTGCGGTTTGATGAGTCGAAATACAAGATTTCCTTTGTGTAATCCAGCCAATACTAATCCGACTGCTGCAGAATGGATGATCACTGAAGGAGGAAATAGAAATCGGTCGACAATCACCCACGGCCCATCCTTTATCCTCGAGAAATGCCGAATGATACAGGGCTCACTGGAGTCTTGTGTAATAGACAGTGCTGAGTACGGTACTTCATTTACAGCGATTCAGACTACTCGATTCGCAGGATGCGACAGCCTCCAGAGCATCATCGGAAAAGAACAACTGTTGTGGATACTTGAGGCGATTCATGGTGGTACTGATGATGACGAAACAGCCGAAACGTTAACCATAATATAAGGATGATAAAAACCTCGGGTCAGAGCAGCAATAAAAGGAGAACATCAATTGCTCAAAGCGAGGTTGCATGAAAGTCGACTCAAGGATGGATATTACTCTATTTCCTTCGAGTTACAAAACCTATGCTACAGCTCTCCTAAGGCGTTACCTTTGCCATTAAGTGGCTCCAATGTCGCTAATACCGCACTAGTTTACACTTCGCATAACAGGTCAACATGTAGAACGTACGCCTGCTGCGACTGGACAGTAAAGAGCTATTCACGACTTCACTGTAGTCGAAAACTGTCTGAGCGGAAGCGAATAAACTATTCTAAATCAGCCTACACGTTTTCAACTGCACAAATGCTATTCGCCTTTGTCGCCTATACTACGCAAACTATTGCTTAACTAGAGCGAGCAATGGTGGAATCTCTTTCTTCTCGAGTTCGACGTCAAGCTAGTCACTCGGATGGCTTCGTTTGCTTGAGAAGGCTACGAGTATCACAGTTTTCCTTTGATACTCCTAAATTTAGTGATATTGACAAGAATAGCCATTTTCAATATGCTAAGATCTGTCACGCAATGGTTTTACACTAAAGTGGACTTCCGATGAAAGTGTTTAACTCATCATTATATATTTTGGCACATGAAACGGTGGGAAAGCCAACTCTCGATGTTAAGACAATCAATAAGTCATTGAAAGAAGGAATATTTTGCAGTATTTGAACTTATTTTTAATATACACTTGATAGAATGCCATATTTCGTGTGATTCCAGGGTTTTTCACAGCGAACATTTGCCGCCAAAAAACCAAGAATTTTGAGGACAACCAAGTCGACCACCGTCATCACTACAACCACTGCGACCACCGCGACCACTGCGCCCACTGCGACCCACTACTACCACTACTGCCACTAATACCTCTACGACGTGTAGGCGATTAAGTTAAAGTAAGCAAAACATTTTTTTGCAGAAAAATCGAGGTAAATATGCAGCTTCCTTTCTTCAGATTGTGATGATCTGAATGCATTGCGGAATGTGGGAACAACTTAGCCATTGCAAACATTCTACAAAATACATGTCACATTATTACAGAAAATCTTGCAGATTTTGTGATGAGCGAACCAAATGTGAGTTGTTTTGGTTGAATTGTTTGCCAGTTTTCTCAAAGCTGTCAAAAAAAAAATGCGTTGATCGAAATACAGCTGATTGATAAATGATATTTTGCATCAAATATATCTAACCTCTTCACACATCAGAAAGAAGGGCTTGATAATGCCGTGGAGCATTTAATGAGCCCCAGAAAGGGTAACAATGTGTGCGAAGGCTCCTTAGGCTATGTAGTTATGCACTCATGTCAGATTTTTTGAGGTTATATCTCACATTGTATCCTACCACCAAAAATGACTTAGGCAGAACATAAACTCGAAAAGGAGAGGCCAAAGAGTTGCGCTTATCGCTGCCTACTACTTTTCAGAATCTTCTAGTGCAATGACACCAAAACTCAATCCCAATGCGGGGCTCGAACATGCGACAGCCAGATTATGAGTGTGGTGCTCTACCGACTGAGCTAACCGGGCTACGATCATTGCCCGAATGACAGAAGAATTCTACGCGTTACCTGTAAATAATTTTACAAGATATTAATAGGAAATTCATATGATTATTCAACCGCAATTTGTAGCTCAAACTTCGGAGCTTAACAGTACGGTGCCCTGCCAGACAGGTGACCAAATCAGGCGATCTCCGATCAATAAAGGGCAGAAAAGTTGCATCAGTTGATACTGCAAGCTGTACAAAAACATCTTTGGTCAGGTGCGTTGAAGTGCCAACACGGTTCATGACTCGAACCCGCGACAACCAGATCAAGAGTCTGGTGCTCTACCGACTGAGCTAATGGTGGCAGAGTAGTTGGTGCACGTTACTTGTGACTATTTTTCCAAGATATTATTAGGAAATGTTTAAATTCGTTCAAAGCGTTCTAAATGGACGTCGAAAAATTCTTCAGAGAAGATCATGCATTCTTCAAGGTCATTTTCGGAAATTTTAAGGCAAAAATTGGACCTAGAAGAACGTTTGAAGAACGTCACATAGGGACCCACGGACTAGAGTCGAATGAACAGGATGAGAGGCTATCTGAGTTTGTCATGAAGACCCAAACCATCCATGGTAACTTGCAATCCCAAACTTCTTTCTCACGTGGGAGTCTCCCAATGGAGAGTACCATAACGAGGTAGACCACATCCTAGTAAATCGAAGGTTCTGCCTGACCGATGTCGCTGTTGTTCCTAAGTTCTTCATGGGATCAGACCATAGCTTCCTTCGCGCAACATTCCGTTTTTCGAGTAGAGGAGAGAAAGCCGCTAAATTCAAACAACGAAGTCCCAGAACTACCATAAATTAGGATGTATTCAAATCATTAGTCGGCTCTTGGGAAGATACCGTTGTCGACTACATCGACGAAGAATACGACCGACTCGTTGAACATCTTCACGTTAGCGCTATGAAAGCCGAGAGCCCCAAGATCACGAAGAGACGCTTGTCTCCGCACATACTCGAGCTGATACGTCAACGTGGAATCGCACGAGTTAAAGGCAACCGAAACCTTACGTCCGAACATGCGAATCGCTGCAGAGAAGCGATAAAAGAAGGCTTCAAAGAGAGAAGACCAGCAGTTATGGGAGAAGCTGCAGAAGCTGGGAAGAGCATTCGCATAGCTCAGCGAAGTTTCGCCAACTATAAGACCAAGATGATTACACTCCGATATCCTGACGAGACACTTACAGCTTTGAGAAGGGATATGAAGAGAATCGTCCACCAATACTACTCGGAACTCTTCGCAAGCCATGTCCTCTTACCGTCATATAAATGGAAGAGGACGAATATGTCGCTCCACCGGTAATCTTTTCCGAAATCCGACATACTATATCGTCGGTGAAGAACAGAACAACACCCGGTCCAGACAGGATTAGACCAGAACATCTGAAGAATCTGCCGCCAGTTCTCATCAACAAATTGGCTCGGCTCTTCACTCGCTACCTGTCAGATTGCAAGGTCCCTGTCTAATGGAAAACCGGCAAGACCGTGTTGTTGTTCAAAAAGGGAGACCTTCACGACATAGGCAACTATAGCCCAATCTGCTTGCTATCGGTTTCTATAAACTCTTTACTCGTGTCATCCTAAACAGGATTGAAAGAACACTGGAGGAAGGACAGCCATGAGAATAAGCAGGGTTCCGAAAAGGATTTAGTACCATGGACCACATCCACACGATTACAAGATTCACTGAAGTTTCACGAAAGGACAAACAACCACTCTGTCTCACTTTCATCGATATAAAGAAAGCCTTTGATTCAGTGGAAACAGAAGCGGTTACAGAGCCTCTGGATAACCAGGGCGTCCCTACTCGGTACATAATGATCCTTCGTGAGCTTTATAAAGATCAAAATATCTCCATTCTACAACAATTTCACCATTGACGTAAGAAGAGGGGTTCGACAAGGCGAAACAATTTCGCCAAAACTATTCACTGCCACTCTACAAAACGTCATGCGAACATCAGAATGGGACGATATGGGAGTGAAAATTGACGGTCGACAATTAAACCATCTTCGCTTTGCTGACGATATCGTTCTCATAACACCAAACATCAGCCAAGCGGAACGAATGTTGACCGATTTCGATAACGCCTGTGGAAACATTGGTCTTCAACTGAATCTAATGAAAACAATGTTCATGAGGAACGGATGGGTTTCTTATGCTCCATTCACGCTCAACGGAACGACAATCTTCGAATGCTCCAGTTACGTCTATCTAGGTCGTGAAATCAACATGATGAACGACCTAGCTCCAGAGTTGAGCAGGAGGACACGAGCGGCTTGGGGAACATTCAAAAGCATCGAAGATGTAGTAAAGAGGACAAAGAACATACGACTCCGTACCCACCTTTTCGACTCAACAATTATCCCTGCCCTAACGTATACAGCAGAAACCTGGTGGCTACGTAAGCAGGATGAAAAATCAATCGGAATTATCCGACGTTAAAAACGCTATGATTTAAATTTTCAATGAAAACGCTAAACAGCCTTTTTTCAAGAGTGATGAGGAATTTCGAAAAATATCCTCGAAAAATCATCGACCCGTTAGGGATGCCGTATGACCAAGAATCGATAATGCACTATCATAAGCTTGCGTTTAGTCGCAATGGAAAGCCGACAATGATGCCGAAGAACCGCTCGGTGGAAATTGGGCACCGCTATAAACTCAGTGAGTGCTATTGATGCCAAGATGGTGATTTCTTAGATATTCTGAGAGTTCACCTTTAATCAATAACTTTCATTGCAGACGTCGATAAACATCGGATAGCATCAAAAAAGAAGTTTGAAAAAAAAAAGGCCTTCGAAAGCATGGACTTAGAAGTGCTGAATAAATTTTAATAGAAGTGTAAGACAAGTCGTCTCAAGAGTATTGTATCGTGACTAAGAGTGACAATCTTTCTTATCACTGATTAACTAGTAAAATAGAGAGTAGTTTGCTTGTATTTTCTTTATAATTGAAAGACAATTACGAAAAAGGTGGGAGCAGAAAGGTAACTATTGCAGCTGTAGAAACCATGTAGTCTAACGGAATTGTGGAAACTATGAGAAGCTAACAACATATTTTAAGCCTCTCATGAAGACTGCTACGGCACTTATAAGTGCCAGAGACGTGTTTTGGCCTTTCAGCCTCATTTGTAGCACGGCACCTTTCGGTTCAGTTGTTCCTCGGTGACACAGCCCCTATTTTGAGGATTCGACGTCAAACTGTTTATACTGAACGTCGGTTAAAGAATAACCGTGGTGATGTTTTAGAGTAACTAACCCTCGTATGAAAACCTTACAACTGACTGTTTTGAGACATCGCTTAAAATCAATGTCATTCCGTCAATCGACAACCAATCACTCTGGAAGAACGCCACGGTGATTCTCTAACCGCACGTTGAGTGTAAATAGGTAGATGTTTGTTACTCTATGTATGGGATATGTCACCGAAGAGGTGACCGAACCAAAAAGAACCGTGCAACTGATGAAGCTGAAAGGCCGAGACTTGTGTCTAGCACTGTAGAATCGCAGTAACAGACTTTATAAAAGGCTTAAAAGATGCTGTCGGGATATGAAAAAGTGTACGAAATCTTCCACCATAAGTGTGGGATGGAAAGGGCTTCCATTAGGAATGCGAAAGTGTAAAAATGAGAGCATTTTGTGACAACACCTTTGCAACGTCTTATTGGTAATGATAAATTTGCGAGTGCTTGAGTGATATCACAAACTGTGTTGGAAAGCCGATCAACTGATATGACATTGCCACTTACTTCTCATAAAAAAAGTGATAACGTTGAAATGAAATTGCTTCATATTTAGGTCATTAAACTCTATGAGTGCAAAGGTTAATCTAAGACCACAACCACTGCGAGACCATCAACAAATACATCTGCAGTTACTAGATCCCAACCTACCACATTTACCTCTACGGCAAAAACGAAACCCGGAGGTGAACGAGTGAGTAAATTTAGTTGCTCTGGAACACTACAAAAATTTGAAAAATTTGGAAGTTATTATTAAAGGCTATAATGCTGAATATAAGAAGTGGAGAATGACTAACGAAAAGCTCTATATGGAAATTACTTCAAAATATGAATCTTTTTCTCTACGAATTACGAAAAATAGCACGTTGTTGAGCTAGCGAGCGATTTTCCATAAATCTTTGCTATCATGAATAACGTTTCGGCGGTTTCACCATTCGTCAAAGCCACGATGATTCGCGTAGAAGGCTCACAGCAATTGCTAATTGTTTCTCTCAAAAAATTGATAGAAACATTGCGTTAGCTCAACAGAAAGAATACTAAAAGCCTACTGCGGTTTGATAAGTCAAAATTCAAAATTTGCTTTCTTATATGACAGCCAGTACTAATCCGACTGCTGCAATATGGATGGTCATTGAAGGAGGAAATAAAATAATGTAAGATTGTGAGCACTTCTCTATTGCTACTACATATTGAAGGTGGCATAAATATATATATAATTTTAGCCTCTAGTAACTTTTTGAATCCTTTCTTTGGTATATTTTTTGGACTTTCTGCCCGGTTTCCATTTATTCAACCAACTTCAGATGGAACTCGATCCAGCGAACGTCTTCGCCAACGCCAATCTGGTCGATATTATCGGATCACCCACAGCAAATTGTGATAATTCGATAATCCGCTTCATGCAATAAAGTTTTCAACTTTCCGGTGGTACAAACGTGAAACCGTAGCTTGCACAGACTTAATCGACATACATAAAATTTATGGCTATATCTGTTACAATGCATCTATCAAAAACGTTCGTAAATTACCAAACTGTGGTTTCAATCACTATTCTGTGAATTTTTTCGTGATAAATAGTGAGGAAAGTTAATAGATGGGTTGTTAATCGGAATGAAAGACTTATGCTCTCAAACGTGAATTAAATACGTATTGATCGATCGCGATCGAACCGATAGAGACTAATCATAAGCACCGGCGACAGTGTTGCTAGCAAAGACGAGGTAAACCCGGATGATTAAGGTCTATTGAAGAAGTAGCAGGCTCAATATTATGAATTTTTGATTGTTCAACTTCCAGCTAAAAGTGCTGAGTGATGTGCAGAACTCTGAACCTGTGAGACGAGATGAACTCAAGGTGAAACGCGAGTTCAACTCACACCTGAGCTGCAGGTAGCCCTACATAACACTTAACATTATTAAACACGAAGTTACAATGCTTTAAAACTTGCTGAAAATAGCCAAAGTAAGAAATACTTGTAGACTTCAACGTTTATTTTCTACCTAAGTCATTGTTATCGGCTGGATATGATATGAAACATTATCAAGGGTGCTAGGAGACGAA